CGGAATTTGTACGAACTAGAAATAAAAAATTATACATGTACTGCTGTAAATAATAAATATTTCGTTCCAATAGAATGAATGACAATAAACAAATGGTTATATTAATTACTTAATTTTAACAAAACGTTTTTTTAAAAAAAGCTCGGTAAATCGGTTCGGTTTTCGGTAATTACTGACCGGTATCGGTATTAATGATTACCGAAATCGATAGGTTTCGGTAATCATCAATACCGATACTGATCAATTCAGTTCGGTATCAGTTTTTGCAAAAACCGAACCAAACCGAACCGATCGGAGCCCTATTTATTTTATAGATATTGGTTGGGATCTTTGGGCGGAATGATAAGTTTTGAAAGTTTTATTCACTTTTGAAACTTCAATTATTTTTTTGTTTTTTCTAATGAAGTTTTACTAAGGTATTCTCTTTTTGTAAGTCTACGGCTTCCTGGGTACTTCCTGAATGGAACTTCGAAGGTATCCTTCGAAGTTCTTTAATTTCTTTTATTTTCTTTAATAAAACGTTACTAACTAACATTTTTTCTTTTTGTAGGTTCATGACTTCTTGGAACCTTAAGGTATTTTTAAATTTTTGTTTTTTCTTTTAATTTTAGTGAAGCGTTACTAACTAATAAAATTTTCTTTTTTTTGTAGATCCACAACTTCTTGGATGGGACCTGGATAGAACTTCGAAGGTATTCTTCAAAGTTCTTTAAATTTTTATTTTTTTAAATGAAATTTATTTTTTTTTAATGAATCGTTTGCTAATATTTTTGTTTCTTTTATTTTTGTAGATCTATACAGAATTTTGAAGGTAAAACTTCGATATTTAATTTTTTTTTTTATTCAACGAAACGTTAACTACGTTTTATTTATCTTTTTTGTAGGTTGCAGGCACTTTTGGCTTTTTGGTCAATTTCATGATAGAATTTTGAAGGTATTTAACTTCACGATATTTATTTTTTTTATTTTATGTTTTAAAAAATTAAAAAAATTAAACGAAACATCTAACGTTTCAATTTTTTATTTTGCAGGTTTTTGGACTTCTTGATAAAATTTCGAAGGTAAACTTCGAAATTCTTATTTTTTTGTTACTTTAATTTATGAAACGTTTACTAATGTTTCAGTTGTTTTTTTTGTAGGGTTTTGGTTTTCCGGCTCCTGGACGAAAGAATTTTGAAGGTAAACTTTTAAAATTCTTTTTTATTTTTTATTTTATTTTTCTTTAGTGAACGTTCTACTAACATTCATTTTTCCTTTATTTTTTAGATTCTGGCTCTATTTGAAAGAACTTCGAAGGTATAACACTTTAAAGTTTCTTTTTTTTAATTTTCTTTAATGAACGTTTTACACTTTTACTAACGTTTATTTTCTTTATTTTTTAAGTCCCGACTCTCATTTGAAAGAACTTCGAAGGTAATAACACTTTAAAGTTCTTTTTTTTTAATTTTCTTTAACGAACATTTTACTAACGTTCATTTTCTTTTATTTTTTAGATCCTATCTCTCATTTGAAAGAACTTCAAAGGTAATGACACTTCAAAGTTCTTTTTTTTTAATTTTCTTTAACGAACGTTTTACTAACATTTGTTTTTCTTCTATTTTTAGGTCCTGGACTTCCATTTGGAAGAACTTCGAAGGTAATAATATTTTGAAGTTATTTTTTTATTTTTCTTTAACGAACATTTTACTAATATTCATTTTTCTTCTATTTTTTAGGCCCCAGCTCCCATTTAAAAGAACTTCGAAAGTAATAATACTTTGAAGTTCTTTATTTTTTATTTCTTTAACGAACATTTTACTAACATTCGTTTTTCTTCTATTTTTAGGTCCCAGGCTCTCATTTAGCATATTTTGAAGGTAATAACACTTTGAAATGAATTTTTTGGTTTATTTTAACAAACATTTTACTAACATTCGTTTTTCTTTATTTTTTAGATTCTTGGGATTTCATGTCTAAGGTTGCTTATCTAAACCTCTTCAAAATCCTACGATTAGTTTTGTCAAAATTTTACTATAAATTTATTATAGTTTTGGCAAAGTTTCGGCAGTTTCGGCATTTATAATAAGTTTCAGCAGTTTCGCCTTTCTCCAAAGTTTCGCCAGTTTTTTAATATAATTTTAATATAGTTTCAGCAGAATTTCGCTTTTCGGTGAAACGCCATCTTTCCTAAACCCCTAGGTTTCGGCAAGCAACCTTATTCATGTCAGACATTTTGAAAGTAATAACTTCAAAATTTGTAACAAATATCTCTATTTTGTTTGTTGTTTGTTGGAATCGAACCAACTGGAACAATGTTCCAAACCATTAACAACATGTTAATGTGCAGTAAAAAGATGATGAATAGCAATGGCTAGTAATAGATTTCAATTGTATTTGTAAACTTGTTAATATATAATAAAAAAGTAATTTTGATTATATAAATAAATTAGTAATTAATGCAATAAATTAATTTGTATTATTTTGACGCAGATTTTTACTGAAAAAAATTGCTAAGGTATTTCGAAGGTTTTTTATTTAAAAATCTGCGCAGAACTTTGTTATTTATAAAAATCTGCGCAGATATAATTTCTGAAAATTTGTGCAGATATGCTTCCCAAAAAATTTCCTGATGTACCATTTCTTTTTCTAATACTATGCCACATTATCATAACTCTTCTTTGGCGACAGTTTCTCAGGATTCCTGGATTTTTTAGATATCCTCTTCTATAATTCAGGGTGGATCTTGGATCTTACACTTGGATTTTCTGCGCTGTTTAATAGTTCAACCTCTTAGGGTCTTTTTCTGGTAATGGACTGGATTTTTGGATGTTGGATAGTTGACTCATACTGGCCTTCAGGTAAAGTTGGGGTATGCGATTCTGTAATAGTTTAGTTTTTCTTTTCTTTAACTTTATTTTAGTATAGATTTCTTTACTTATATAAGTCGTGAGACTATTCTTTTTATTTTTTATTAGTTATTTTCTTATTTTTGTGATATTATTTGTTTTTTAATTTTTGAAGTTAAAATATAAATAAATGATAAAGTCATAAGACTGTTTGCACAATAAAAGGATAAAACTACTACCATTTGATTCATCTCAGTAAGACAATTCTAACAAGCTATGGTACATCTTCGTACGATTATTAGATGCCAAGTTATTTAATATATTTTTTATATAACTGTGATTATAAATGGTTCTCTTTAATATAAGATTTTTGAGGATAGGTGTGATAGTGACTATAGATAGATTGTGATTATATAGGATAGATTTTAATAATAAAGTATTTTGAACATTCAACTGGTGTGACTATATAGTAGAATGTGACTATAATGGGAGTAACTATAGAGGAAGTTGACTGTATCCTATATAATTAGAAATTACTCACTAATTTATCATTTTTTTTGATTTCAGTATCATCTAATAAATGCATGCTAGATTAGCATTTTCTTATTTTAAAAATACAATTTAGAAATTATACTTTTTTTTGATGTTTGATGTTATTTAAGGTTGGTTTAGTCCTATATATTAGGTAATCATCAGGTTTGACTTAACAAAATTTAGCAATTTTTTGTATTATATTAAGTGAAAATTTGGTCTATAAACTAAACTTAGGAAGAACTTTTCCACTAGATCATCAGTTTTATTTAGTTAAATCCATTCTAATCAATTTGTAATTCCTTGTATAGTATCTGATGTATTTTTATGAAATATATATAAATAAAGTATATAATTTTCTTTGAATTTTTAATTATAATAATTAAATCAATTACAAAACTTAAAAAAAGTTAGATTAAATATATGCTACCACTGGTAAAAAAATGATTTATCCTACACATATCTTACACATATTGGGTACTTAAAATGTAGAAAATCATATACAAATAATACACATATCATACACATATCGGGTACTAATATATATATCATACATATATCAGGTACCTGATAGGTATACTATATATATAAGTACCCGATATGTGTATGATATGTGTATTATTTGTGTATGATTTTCTACATTTTGAGTACCCGATATATGTAAGATATGTGTAGGATATGTGTAGGATAGACCATTTTTTTACCAGTGTACATAAGTAATTGCTAAATCTTTGATTGCATCTTCAATATTTTTACTAAAAGTAATATTATATTCCAGTTTTATGTATTTTTTGATTGCATAATAAGTGATTTTATAAATAAACAAAATAATTTGATAAATATATAATAATTCTTTCAAAAATTTGAAAAATTATTATTTGTGTATAATGAGAATTTATTATTATTTTCACCTTTCTCACTTTTAAAAATATCTAATTTTTTATGTTAATATTATACCATTCCTTCCAATATGATAAAATAATTAGCAGTTCAGTATTATAGTAATGGATTCATTATCAGAAATTATAGTAATCTATAATAACTTCTTTTCAAAAGTTTCTATTATGCTATGTAATAATGAAGCAGTAAATTAGACATTCTGTTTTGTATCATTTAAGTAATTTGACCAATGATCAAATGCTTGAATGTTGAAATTATATATTTTAAAATTTTTAATATAAATAAATATACTATGAAAACTTTAGTCATATTTGCCAAAAATTTCAGATTTATTTCTTTTAAAAATTCTTATTTTATAATCTACAATTAATAATATATACCATTTGAATTTAGTTAAAGTAAATTGGAATTTAATTAAGGATTTAGGTATTATATCTTTCAGATATGGTAAGACATGAAGGATATTAGAATATTAGCTATTTTTGATATTTTGATAATAAGTTATGTCTAGATTGTTTTTCAATTTCTTAAAAAATTCAAATAGTTTTTTACAATTTTAGCAGACTTTTAAATAATCTTGATTATAATTACCAAATGCATGTTGAGGATAATGATACAAAAAACATGAATAGTATATCCATATCATAATGCATTTTCGATTTTAACATTAACTGAAGTGGATTTATTATTAATAAACACATAATTTCAAATGCAAGTATAAATGAGATATCTGCCAGATATAACAATTCATCAATAATAAGAAAACAAGAAATTGAAAAATTGAACCATAATCTTATATTGAGAACAGGAAATTGAAATAGTTTTTGAACTAATCTTAATTCCTTAGTATCCTAATAACTTATTTTTTACTTGGCAAATTTTATTTATTCTAATATAGAACAATGATTAATAAATAAATACACTAAATGTGTAGCTACAAGTACAATAATTCATGCCATTTAATTTAATTAGACAATGTGTTTTTTAATTGACTTTTCAATTTGACAGCATCTTTAGCAAAATTACGAATACCCTCAGAAAGCTTTTCAGTAGCCATGGCATCTTCATTGAATTCCCATCGGAAAGTCTTCTCATCAAAAGTGACTTTTGGTTCCGAAAAAGCTTTAGCTATAATAATTGAAGAATAGTAAATTCGTAAATAAATATAATTTTCCGTCAATTTTTTTAAATTAAAAATAATTACCTGATTCAGGACTCAATTTTCTTTTAATTTCTTTTTTATCATTTTGTAATTCATGCAACAAAGCAGGACTAATAGTTAAGAAATCGCAACCAGCTAATTCTTCGATTTCACCAGTATTGCGAAAAGAAGCACCCATTACAATAGTTTTGTAACCATAGTTTTTATAATAATTATAAATTCTTGCAACAGAGCTAACACCAGGATCTTCATGTGCCGCGAATGTTTTGCCAGTGCTTTTCTTGTACCAATCAAGTATACGTCCAACAAATGGACTAATCAAAGTCACTCCTGCTTCAGCACATGCAACAGCCTAAAATATGTAAGAGAGTTAAATTTGATTAAATCAAAAAATGTCAATGGATATTCTCAAAAGTGACTTACCTGAGGGAATGAAAAAAGAAGAGTGAGATTGCAATGAATTCCTTCTTTTTCTAATTGACGAGCAGCTTGAATTCCTTCCCAGGTAGATGCAATTTTGATTAATATTTTTTCCTTTTCAATACCAACTTCTTTATAAAGTTTAATAAGACGTTTCGCTTTTTCAATAGTTGCTTCCTTATCAAAAGAAAGACTTGCATCAACTTCAGTAGAAACTCTCCCCGGAATAATTTTCAGGATTTCAACTCCAAAATTAATCAATAATTTATCCATAGCCCATTCAACCTTTTCATCAATTGACCCTTCTTTGCCCTTTGCATATTCGATGGCTGAATCAATCAAATGGGCGTAATTTGGTTTTTGCGTAGCGGCTAATATCAATGATGGATTCGTAGTAGCATCTTGAGGCTTATATTGTGAAATTGCTAACGAGATACATATATTTGCATTAAAAAAAATGTTTATACTATAAATAAATATGCAATACCTACTTTCAAAATCACCAGAATCCGCGACGATGGTTGTATGTTGTTTAAGTTGATCAAGAACTGATGTCATAATTGAAAGAACAATTCAAGAAAAAAAAAGAATGTGAATTTATTTTGAGAGAATTTAATCTATTTATGTTTGATTACAAATGTAAGCAATCACCAATCAGTTACATGTGAAACAGAACGTGAGAAAATAACGTTTGAAATCAAATTATGTTACACATTGGTAATTATGAATTATAAATCATATGTGGGAAAGATTTATGTAATTATTAATCTGGCACATTTGTAACAGATAATCATTTTGTTTGCCGAAAATGTTTAACTTCGAATGAAATTATTTTAGCGAGCAAGACGGAATATGTCATAGTCCGCATAGGCCAAACTCGTATTGATTACCAAGACCACTGGACTCAAAATTACAACACAAGCGTCTAAAAATGATTACAATAATCATATATAAATGTCGTTATCTAAACTATCATTGGCCTTCTGTTTTTCTTAATTAAGTGATCATGTATTTACAGTTAACAATTGTCAATATATACCCAAGATCTAACTCTAGTGTCTAGATACTGTTTAGGATGTCATCTAAAGATCGAAGAAAAACAGATTATGAGATTTACATTTCGATATCTCAAATTATAACTCCTAAATGTAATATTACTAGAATGATTCTCATAATTAGTTTTTCGAAACTACATTATTATTTAATTTAATAAAAAAAATAAAGTGTCTTCTACTGAATCAATTGAGAGCAGTCTATTCATCAATTGATCGATTAACTAGTGTAACACAGAGATTATCAATTCCTTATTTAAGGTTAGGTGATTATCACCTGATTTAATACTTAAAAGGCTGCGTGTTTGTTGTCGCGTTTTGCGAAATTGTTATAACTTCGTCGTCATTTATGAAATAAAATGGACAAAGCAGCATATGAAGCTCTATCACTTGTTCTTTCTTCAGATCCCAATGTAAGACTAGCGGCTGAAGCAAGGCTTAAAGAGTTAGAGAAACTTCCAGGTTGGTTTAAAATAAAGATATTTATTTGTGTCTGAACGCGTTAGTTCTCAAGAGTCTCGATATTAGCGAATATCACAATTTATTAAATATTTTTTAGAGTATCCCGTTAGTCTTGCTAAAATGGTGGTTTCACAAGAAATAGATATTTCATACCGACAAATATCCTTGCTTTTTTGAAATATTATCGTATTTTATCATATTTTTTATTCCTTAATTGTTTATCTATTACTCGGCAGCAATTAATTTGAAAAATTACATTGAAACGCATTGGTCACCTTCGAACAGTAAATTCATTGGCCCAGAACCAAATTTCGAGGTTTGTTAGAAATGATCCTATTGCGTAGCCATAAGTTTATGTATAAACTATTCTTAAATTTTAGATAAAGGCTGTTGTACGTGAATTAGCATTTAACGGGCTATCCGATCCTTCAAGTAAAATTCGTGTCGCATCGGTATCTACTTCTATTGTCACATAATTACCAAAGGTTTAAAGGTCTTTTATGATTATCTTAATACTATCCATGTTTTCTATATGATACAGGCATACGTTGTGTCAAAGATTGCTAACAACGATTGGCCTGAGTATTGGCCAAATCTTTTGGATTTATTGGTGTCGCAATTAAAATCTGGTTCTCCGTATCAAGTTCATGGTTCTATGAGGGTTCTGAATGGTACAATTACATATAATTATTTAATTTACGCTCTTATCTTTTGATATTACTAATTATATTTATAATCATATAAGAATTTTTTACAAATGATATAACGGAACAACAATTTTCTCAGGTAACTCCATTATTGCTGCCGGAGCTTTCAAGGATTTTGCAATCTGAAGGAGTAAGTTGAACCTCTTAATTTATGTTTTTTAATTTCGCGAACTATATTAATAATTGATCTATTCTTGAAGATTCATTCCTACAAAACTCGTGGACGGGCCATTACAATATTTAAACAATGCATAGAAATATTGGTTATGCTTAAGGAAGAACATCCAGAAGCAATTGAGCCTTTTTTAAAGCCTATATTACCTGAATGGTTGCAAGTTTTTTCAAATATTTTGAAGAAACGAACAATTGATAATGAGGAAATTGAGAATGAAGAATACGGATTAAAACTGGAGATTGTGAAGGTAAAAGAAACAACTTTTTTTATTATAAGGTTGTAAAAATTTATTTATTTTTTTTTTAAAAAAATAAATGCTCAATTTTTAGTGTTTGAATTACTTAATAAAACATTTCCCAAAATTAATTTCGGATTATCTTCTTGTGTTATTGGAACCAGTGTGGCTGGATTTGGTTTATCAAAGAGATAGATATCCTTCTAATTTATTTAATTTAATATTAGATATTCTTTAATTTTATTATCTTTAATTTTTTATTATTGAAATACGTTTATTAACATGTATGTCCGTCCTTCTGATGATGATGGAATAAATTTTTATCAAGATTCTGATGGAGATGTAATTGGCTTTGAATATTTACTTTTTGCCCAATTTGAATTTGTTGGTTTATCCGTTCGTAAACAAGCAGCCAAAGCACTCTTCGAAGATAATGAAAAAGGTGGCTTCTTGAAGCAAATCATTTGGATTATCATATCCTACATGCAAATGACTGAGGAACAGGTTTGTCAATTAAACCGAGATAAGATTAAGTTTACATATGTTTTAATTGTTTTAAATTTTAAATTTGCTTCTAGGTTGAAATTTGGTCATCAGATGCAAACCAATTTGTTGCTGATGACGATGATGAAACTTTTAACTATAGTGTTAGAGTTGCAGCAATAGATTTATTACAAGTAAATAAAATATTCAATTGACGCTATTAATTTCATTTATTGTCTTTAACTAACCTATCCCTTTTTGATTTTAAGATCTTACTGGATAAATTCTCAGAACAAGCACTACAAGCTCTTGCTGATACTACCAAGCATCTTATAGAAGAATCTGACAAAGCACGTGTTGCAGGTGATACTGGTTGGTATGTAATATTTTGAGACTTATATATGCTGATTGTTTCCTAATTGATGAATTTACATTTCCTATCGCAATTTAGGTGGAAAATGCAAGAGGCTTGTTTAAAAGCAATTGGTTATGTTTCTGATGATTTCTTGTTAGCAATTCAAGATTCTAAAGTGAATTTTGATCTCTCTGGATTGTTTGAACATGTCGTGTTTAATCATATTGCTGCAACAGGTAAGCATGATTTGAAGTCCAATTATCAGATTAAATTATAATTTCTAATAAATGATTTCCCTTTAAGGTATTCCTTTTCTCCAAGGGCGAGCAATTGTGTTTTCCAGTCAATTTGCTACATTCTTATCCGAAGAATTCGCATCACGATATGTTGCTGCCACTGTTGAGGCCATTCAACGGATTGAATCCATCCCTGTCAAAGTATCCGCTTTAAGAGCATTACAAAAGTATAAACATTCTTAATATTAATATTGTTTATGAATTTTTTTATAATTTAATTTGTTTATTTAACTAATGATATACTAGTTTCTGTCGTCATTTGGATACACAATATGTAGCACCATATCAATCTAATATAATTGAAGCAGTAGCAACTCTGTTGAATGTTACATCCGAGGATTCATTAATTTTAGTGTTAGAAACATTAGAATTTGCAATCAAAGTAATTAAAAGCAACATATATAAATTTCAATTCAATTTTTATTTGTGCTACTAATAAGCACCTTTTTCTATGTTTAGATAAATAATGAAGTAACAGCCGGGTATGAACATATGATAGGACCATTGATAATTGATGTGTGGATGAAAAATCCTACTGGTAAATTTCTTTTTTAATATTATTTTACCAAACGCTTATTGATATACTATATTAATGTCACCATTTCATATTTCAGATCATCTTGTTGTTTCAGTTATAACCGATCTTTTTGAATCTTTAGCAGGCAATACAGCTGCTTATTCCTCATTTCAAGCCAGGGCATTGCCATCTTTAGTTAATATAATAAACAATGTTACCGATTCTGCAGCGATTGCGGTAATATATTGTAACCTAAGTTTTTTATCTCAAAGTACAATTGAACTAAATTGTTAATTCTTAAAACTTTTCAACTTGACATAGTCAGCAATAGATTTAATAGCAAGTTTAGTTAAAGGGGGACCATCACCTTTGCCTTCGTCGTACGTTGAACACATATTTCCTTCATTAATACATTTAATGTTAATACATGAAGACAGAAGTATATCACAGGTCTGTACAGTTCCTCGAGATTATTAGTAAATAAAAGTAAGTTCAACTAAAATTCTTTTTTTTATTTGATTTTATAGAGTGGTGAAGTTTGCTTGAAATATTTTATACAAAAAGATTGTGGACATATCGCACAATGGTAAAGTTCCTTTCTCTCAGATATTTAATTCATGATTGTTAAGATTGTCTTGATTATTAGGACGGATACATCTGGAAAGACAGGCTTAGATTATGTTATACAATATATTGCAAAGGCTCTTCAACCAAAAGAGAGTGAATCCGCTGGTTTTCTCGGTGATCTGGTGGTAAAACTTATTAAAAAGGTAATATAAGAAACATAAATTACGAGTTACTTGATAGTAAACTGATATTTCATCTTAATTATTTAAAAGGCAGGTAATAGAATCGTGCCCGTACTTCCAGAATTACTTAAGGCAGCTGCTACCAAGTTAGAAGGAGCAAAAACTGCTACTTTTATACAGGTATTATATTTCACCATATTTTATTTTATTTTTATTTTTATTTTTTTTTAAAATAAGGTGATATATTTCGAATCCAAATAACCTTTATTATGAGCATTGATCAATCAATTATTTTATCAGTCGTTAGTTATGATATTTGCGCACTTAATGTTAAACCAGTTGTCTACAGTTGTTGAATTCTTGAATACGTTGGATATAAATGGACGAAATGGTTTAGAGATATTGCTCAATACTTGGCTTGAAAATCACGAAAGTTTTCAAGGATATTACAGTATTAAAGTTAGGTACGATGTATTATGTTATTGATTTCCCATTTATTTATCTTATATTATCTTACAAGAGGACAATTTATAGTGCCATTGCACTATCTAAACTATTTCTTTCCGGAGACCCACGAATACAAGGTATTCAAGTTAAAGGTGATTTAATTGTCACTAATTCTTCTAGTATGTATTATGTTTGATATTTCATTATCAAAATTATTATGTCGACTTTAAGAAAAACCGATTCTTTTAAAAAAATCATTTATTTTACAGGGATTATGACTCGGTCGAGAAGTCGAAAAAGTATGTTATATTAAGTATAAATTTTCGTCACAATTGAACAATTTATCCAAACATTTATATTATTTGTAGATCCTGACCAGTTTACCTATGTTTCCGCCAACGTAAAGATAATTAAACTACTTATCTCGGACCTTCAAAATTCATCAGATAGCGATGTAAAACGATCAGAACTGGATTATGATGAATATGACGACGAAGACAGCGTTGAAACCGATGATGAAGTAAGAAATTATCAATAGATTTTCATATTTCACGATGTATATTTAATCTTTAATTTGTTATTTTTATCTAACAAGTGCGATGAATGGGAAGATGTAGAAGAACCTTCTCCGTTTGCTCCAGCCGAAGATTATGTTGTTCTTTCTGGTAATATAATGATGGCGTGTTTGTAATAGTTTTTAGAGTAAGCTTAAGAAGATTTAACATATTTCAAAAAATTTAGAATACCTAGATAAAGGGAAAGACCTTGACGATGTCGATGATGACCCAGACATAAAAGAAGATCCTGTTTATCTTACGAATCTTAGAGTAAAATCATTATCTTTAATTTTGAAAATATTTATATAAAATAAAATGCAATCATGTATTAATTAAATTTGATTTATGCTATAGGATTATCTGACCGACTTTTTTCGTCATTGTGCAATGCAGAATGAGAATAATTTTGTTCAATTATGTTCCGAATTAAACGAAGATGAGCAACAAAAATTACAATCATTAGTTAATGGCAAACATACATAATATTGTACAAAAAGAACTTAATAAATTTATTAATGTATCTTAATATACTTTAGAAAATTATGTACAGAAAACAATTTTTTCACAATTATAGAGGGAAGTAATAATTCATTTAAAGGCCAAAATGATTATTTATTTTAATAAATAATTGTGAACTCTACTACTGTGGAATATGGAAAATTTGTTCGTATCTTTGGATCATATTTAGGCTAGGTCTGACTAAGTCTTATTAAGATTTAAAATTAAGGTTACGATAATGAAAGACAAATTTTTCAAAACATTTAAGTTCTTCTTGTCAATGGTATGGGTCTCATCAATTTCTCTTATGGGACCAAGTTAAACGAAATTTATAGAAATGAATCAAATGATATAAAAAAAGAAATAAAAATTTGAATTTTCGAGAATAAATTTATGAGAATTTTTTGCATTTTGGAATTTTTGCATTATGATATTGAAATTTCTAAATCTTTTTTTTTTAGTCATGATCATCTTTCTATTAGTTGTATATAATCCTCTACGTGATTTTCTTATATCTTTTTCCATTTGATGCAGATTAGGCCATGTTGTCGCTTTATTGAACCAGATATATTGGACCTGCAAAAATTACTAAGTCAATTAAATTTACAGTTGATAAGGAAATGGGACATCAAACTATTTTGCTAAAAAAGATAGTGTAGATACCTCACAGTGAAGAAAAAGTTAAAATAAAATTCTCGCAAGCAAATGAAGGAACCATATTGTCCAAAAATATCTAATAATAGCACCGGAGAAAGCTAAACGTCGATTAACCGCAAACCGGTGGAAGTACTGATGGTTTCAAAATTTCCTTAAATTGGATTGTCAGGCATAATTTCTTTAAACAATCCGTAAACACTCTTTAGCAACGCCTGTAATATTCTCTTTAAAATCTATATTTTTTTCTATATTCGAAGAATTCTCCTTGTCGAATCAATGCGTTGTGGAGGCGTTTATTATTTTTCTTTTGTTCGGTCTTAAATTTGTTCGTGATTTGTTTTTGTGTTCTTCTCATCACCGTCGCAATTCTACCAAAGTCCAACCCTAAAAGCGCAATGCATTTATAAAATTTTTCTGTGTCTTGGGTGGACCAACGACGAGTAAATTCTTTAGGCACATCAGACCTCAATTGATTTGGTAATTCATCATATATGTCAAGCTCTATGACATCCATTTTGTCGTATTCAGCTGCTGCTATAGGATTCAATCTATCTTTAAAAGACACACTTTCTTTTTCTCTTGATTTTTCATTGATGTCTTGCCAGGAATTGGGTTGCTTTACTCTCCTCTTTAATATAGGCCGCTCATAAGAGGTATCATTAACGTTGTCTTTACGCACTAGAGAAGTACTGTCAACTTCTTCAAAAGTGGTATCTACAGAAGAAGCTTCTTCGTTATATTCTACAGTGGAACACGAATCTTCAATTGAAGTCGGTTCGAAATCTTCAACGGTAATAGCTTCTTGATTTATTGCGGGAAACGTTTCGAAAGCGAGTGAGGTTTGTGCAGCGTTTTCATCATTCGAGAATGGTTTATTACGCAAATTCGCCGTACATTTTCGGATTTCTTCTATAAGTTGAACATGATTGACTGGATTCTTCGGAGGCTTCGCCAAGCCGACACGACTTAGCTCCATCAAACGCACAAGATCGAAGACCGACCTGCAAGCTCTTTTTTCTCTCTCGCGTCTTTCATCATTCTCGGCGACATTACTAGATTGCTCGACTCGCAATTCATCTTCGCATGGTCTCATATCGGACGACGAGTTTGCAACTTCAGAAGAGGTTTCTTGAGAGATATTTCCAAGTCTCCATTTGTTATTGAATGTCTCATCGAGCGACATTCCACCATAACGTCCACTACCAATATCTGAAGAAGGGTTGGCAACTGATAGCGAAATTTTTTTAGGATGAATTTCGCCAGTTACAGCCATCGTACAGGGGCAACAAATATTATTGTCACAATTTAAACCAAAGTCGAATCGTCTCTCGATTGCAAATAAAGGAAGAGACGCAACAAAAGATTCTTGCTCGTCATATTCATCATGCAAGATATCTTCATTCGTTCGTTGTCGTTTGAATTGAGGATGATATGTACCTGGTTCGGAAAAATCGGAAGGTGTTTCTGGTGTATTATTTTGCTTATTTGTTATTGCAGTCGGAATTTCTATGGACGAGTAACTTTGTTCTGGTATAATTACTTCATTAACACGAGTTAAAGGTTTGGGTTCAAGTGGTACAGATTCGCTTTTAGGTGTTGGTTGCGAAGAAACGAAAATCGGATTACCCCGTTTTTTCGCTGCTCGAGGACGTAACAAGAATCTATTCTTTTTTATTAACTCCATGATCTATTAACTAGTATATCTATGTGACTATATCTCAACTACCTAAATTTGATTGGATGATTTGTGCCGTATTTGTAACACAAAAAAATGTCATCTGACGTGCTTTTAACCAAATTACTTAATTGAAACTAAATTTAATTGAATCTCTAAAATATATATTCATTCTTAAAAAACTTTTGATTTTATTCATTTATTTCATATAGTACAAAATAAAGTTTTGTAAATTATGATTATTTCTTTTTTTTTTTTTTTTTTTTTTTTTGTAAATAAACAAACAATTCTTAAAAATATTTTTTATTTAAATTTTAAGTTGTGATGCATCAAGTCCCAATGCGTTTAAAAATAAATTAACATTGGCAATTTTGTGTGATGATGATTTATCAGTTGTAAGCCTTGAAGCTTGTATTACAGTATCTAATACTCGTTCCCTAATTATGAAAAAATTTCATCGTCAATTTAATGAATAGAAAATATTGAACACTACTGACAAAAATTTTACCTCACTTCGGTTACTAAAATATGTTGTTGATCAGTAGATGCACCGACAGCCATCGCTGCAAGAAATTGCCATACATACATATCGTCTATTCCAATATTAAATGGTGGAAACAATGAAAGAAAATGATTCTGCAATAGACTGAATAGTCGATTGTATATCTCTTGCCTAGGTAATATCACATAATATAATAGTAATAAGATTAAAATTTATAGGCAAGAATAAAAATAATTTAATAAAAGAAACTCATTTATTACCATTGTAATAATTCTCGTTCTTCCGGTAAAGGCAAACCTTGCATAGCTCCACCTCCTTGTTTTAGTATTTCAGTACGGCTCAAAAACATCGTTAAAAAAGCTAAACCAACCTAAATCAATTGTAAAGTTATATGAATACCTATAATAAATTCTATTTGATTTATAAAATCATAACTTTAAAACAAAGTACAACTTAAATTACAAATATTTCAAAATAGTTTAACAATAATCATACCTTACTTCTTGCCACCCACACAATATTATTTCTTTCAATGAATAATCCAAATAACCCAAGTACAATTCTCATTGGTGCCTCTGCTACAAATTGTAACAGCGGCGGAACAACAGTGTTCATATATAATTCAACCTCATCTAACATTGCAGGACTAACAATTCCTTGAGTTCCCCAAATTGCACCTTTACAAACATCAAGTGTCTCAAAATTGGCAACTAACATGGTGATTAATGTGAGAATTTGATCAGGAAGACAATGTCGCAGTACACGCGGAATGACTTTTTTCCCTTTTGCAACAGAAAGTATACTAATAAATGGATGCGGATAACTTTTTATTACAAACAAAAATGGTTAGTGGACTTATCAAATGTTTCAATTAAGAATAAGTTTAATACCACTTTACCTGACACCGATCATTTCCGTAACTCTTAGTTCTTCCCACATTTTTTTGGCCAGCTCTGCGTATTCTTCATTCCTAAACCAAATCAATAATTAGATTATAAAATTAAAAATATGTAAATATGTATTTAGAAATATATTTACCATTTTTCAACTGCTTCTCGCTCATGATCGACATATGGTCTTGGTAATGGTGGTTGATTTCTCCTTAATTCTTCTAAAGCAAGTACGGCTGTGTAAACATTCTCAATGGATCGCAGAACTTTCCTATGATCTATGATGCCGTGGGATGAAATTGATGGGATTTTTTGGTGTTGTTGTTGATTTCCACCACTAGGTCCCACATGGTGATGTGTATCATTATGTTTGGAAGAAACCTGTAATAATTGTCTGGGATTACGAACGGAATTAAGTGCAATTTTGCCTAAAGCACCTTCAAGTGATACTAATGTGTCAAAAAATCCAAATAAATTTGTTAAACAAATAAATATATATTTCATATATAATATAAAATAAACCGAATTTCTTACGCTGAGTTAATTTGGGTTTTCTCCTGGCATCATTTACTATTCTCAAGACCTGTTGTTGCATTTTCAATAACCCACTTTCTGATCCTCTACTACGGTGCCTTCGTTCATGTCCCATGAATCCAGCTCCACCGTGCGGAGAAAAGGCAGACATATGAGGCTGTGTTTGTCGGTTTCTTATGGCTGAATAAACTTGAAAATAAAAATCATCTGCATAGGGATCATCCGTCACGAGTTGAGATATCTGAATTTTATTAATCCAGTCTTTATCGCTTTGAGTCATAAGACCATTAAATCTGGACTAAATTAAGATAAAATTATTAATTATTATTAAAAAAATGTTAAACGTGAAATCAAAAATATTACCATTTCGGCTAACTTTCGTTGTTTCTCTCGTCTCTTCCTTTCCCTATGATACAACAAAACTTCATGTTCCCGAAGAGCCGCCTCTTGTTCAAGATAAGCAATAGTTTCTTGTTCACTGTAAACAGCCTCTGTCGTGGGATGAATAGGTAACTGTTGTGGGCGACCGTTTATGCCCATTATGGCAGCCTCAACTTCAGCCAAGCTCAACATCTTTTTTTCTGGTAATCCAGCTTGCCTGTGTAATTGTGCTTCAATTTCTTCAAGAGGGATTGGTATGCGGGTGGAAGGATGTGATGATAGCCCAAAGCCAGGAGGTAAGGGAGATGTCTGAGGCGGAGTGTAACGCTGTGGTATGGTACTGTCTTGGACAAGAGTAAGAGAGTCTAATAATAAAAAAAAATTGGTCAGCCACAAGAAAGAAAAAATTCGGAAATCAGGAAAAATTTGAGTCAATGGAAACCATTGTTCTTCTAATGATAACATTTTACTTTGGAATCACACCTTTACGGTTTGGTGGCGGATGAAAAGTTCCCCATATTGAAGGGCTTATGGGTGGCTATTATTATAATATAGATAATTATGTTCGTTAGTAATTTAGTTAATTAAAATATAATACTAAAAAAAAAATACCTCTGGTAATGGTGGTGTGATTACTGTTTCTCCTGAATGTCCATTAACTATACCATTTGAATCATCTCCCCATAATGCAGCATAAGATGGCCTACGCTTATCCGGTTCTAAAAAAAAAAAAAATGACACAATAAAAAAATTTTGTTAAAAAATGTACCGGATCAGAAACGACAAAATATAAACACATCATACCATCAACATTTTCTGAATTATTACTACTTTCCCGTCGGTTAACATAGATTTCCTCTTCTTTTTGTATAGTACCTACTATTTTTGCAGTACTTCCTGTATAATCAAAATCTTGGCCTAAAAATCGGAATCAGATTAAAATGCTTTAGAATTTTCAAAATTAATATTGTAAGAAAAACATCCAAATCCAAAAGCAAAACGATCTAAAAAAACTTGGTGGAAAACACAACACCAAAAATATAAAAGTACCAATATCTCCAACATTTCCAAAAGTTTCGTCATTAAAATCGTCCCCTGTTTCTTCCAATTGGGTACCCAAATCAAAGTTCTGCTCATCGTCATAAACTCCAAAGTCTTCCCCCGAAATGAGAGTAATATCTTTAAGTTTCCTCTCCAACTCTTCCTCCTCGATTTCGTCCTTTTGCCCACCGTTATTTTCCCCCAACCCATTTAATTGGTCAGAGTCTATTGGTGGTAAAGTAGTATCGAACCCGAAGAAAGAGTCTGACATTATTATCTGTCTCTTATCTTCGTTTCACCTTGTGATCTGAAAAAAAATTATACGATAACTCTCTCTATCGATATTCGACGGAAAACACTTTTTGGGTAGCCTATTAGAAATTAAACCAACTTTTAGGTTTGGGCACGTTTTATCCAATTACGGAATCATTTTTTTTTTTCAGTGCTACTTTTTCTTAAACTGGTATATGTTGATTGTGATACGCGTATAATAGATAAATTGTAATTGTTACATAAATTTGATTTAAATAATCATTATTCTTTCACCATTTTTAATGCCACAAGAAAAGACTTCACGAATGCGTCATCATAATACTACACAATTGCTCGATAGTTCATCGATCCCAAGATTAAGGTATTAAATAAGAAGAAAAAAGTATGTTCTTAGATTTTTTAATAATATTTATTGTTTAAATCTTTATAATTTAATTATCGTTATTCTAACGTATCTAGGAACGAATTCACGGAATTAGAATGTTATCTTACAAAAGAATACGAGGATTTAAAGTCTTTATGGCTAGATTTAAATGAACAACACGCAAAAGCAAAGTCTGAAGAAGAAGTACTTGTTCAAATGTTAAAGGAAAAAAGAACAACTGAAAATTCACAAGATTCTAGTTTAGATGATAATACAAATAATCTTATGCAAGTGGTATATTTACATCTACAATAATTTAAACAAGTTTTATCTATTCATTCCATTTTTTTATTGAACTTGGTTTATTAATGCAGAATACGGATGAAATTGAGAACGAGACTTCGACTTTGGGGAATTCACCTAGTTCTGAATATAATGAATCGGTCATACATAAACCATTAGTGAAAGCGGGAGCAGGAAATGACATAACCGATTCATTCGATTTGTTAACGCTATCATCGCCAAATATTTCAGAAACAGGAGAATCAGAATTTCAAAATGGAGCATTAACGGAAAAATCTTCAGAATTTAACATTAAAGATAATTTAAATAATGCATTGCGCAAGTTACAAAAGTTGGATGAAGAAGACTATGATATTAGCCAAGACGAAGAGATGACAGATATAATTTCAATAGAGAGCAAAACTTTACCTACACATGAAAGCGATGATGATCATGAAATAAGTGAGTATTTATTATATATAAATATATATATTTTTTTTGTTTAATTTGTTAATGTATCTAATTATGATTTTTTTTCAAATAGTTGATGATATTGGTGATGATGAATGGAGCGAAGATAAGACTAGATTAGCTCTTAAAGATATGTTAGATATGATGCGGGATCAAAATAGTTAAATTTTTTTTTTTTTTTGGTTGAGTTTTAATAAAGCTGTGGGATTATTATATTTGATAATCGATTATATGTCGTAAACAAGTGATGAAAATAGAAATTTTAAATTTACTATTAATGTCCATTTGTTGTTGTAGATTTGCTTGATTGACATTGCTTATAAAAATCTGTTTGTTCTGGAAATGATTCCTGAAGTTGTTCAAGAAGCAAATTTGAAAAATCCTAATAATTAATATCCAATAAAATGAATTAATATTATTGAAGGAGAGAATTATAAAAGAACAATAAAACGTATGTAATGCTTATCATATTATTACTTTTATTGCTTCATTTTTTACATTCATTGATGCACTTTCTTCCGTCACTTCTTCTACGTAATCCATCATAAATTTATCAGGATTACGTCCTTCGTCGATATATCTACGTGAAAATAAATGAAAAACATAAATTGTAAATAAGAAATAATATAAATATATAAAAAAAAAATTATTAAAAAATAAATTAAATTACTCTATCACTTCTAATGGAACTTCAATATGTTTAATTTTTTCTTGAAGTTTATGTATATCATCAAAACAGACAGCTAAATCCGATCTATTTATATAAAATAAATTGAGAAACTTTATAATTTTTAATTGCAAAACAAAATTTGAAAGTTCAACATACAAAGTATGAGATAATACCCATTTTTGATCTGGGTTCGGATTATAATCGTTTAATTGTACCATTATCTCCCATATTTTAATAAGAAGATTGTCTATAGTGTCTTCAAGTTGTGATCGTGGATCGCTGTGTCCATTTTGCTGTGCATTTTGCTGTGACGGCTGTTCAGTTTCAGTAGCAGTTGTCATCATCATGGGTCCCATTAATATAAACCTGAAAATGAAATTTGTCTAGATTTATATTATGTTAATATAAATTATAAGATCAAAAAGGTCGGTTAAAGGTTATATTTTTCTGGCGAGAAAATTGAATTTTCTGCTGTTTATATATTTATTTTTTTATGAATGCATTATGTAATTTACCAAATTACGTTAGTTATGTATTACGACATTTATCCACAGATTTACTATGACCTTTTTTGTAACACAATCGACAATATATATAGCTGATAAAAAAATTTTTTACATCTATAAGTTGAAAAAAATCAAAAAAAAATCAATTTTTAATAAACTTAAAAAATGTCATTATCTTTGTCATTATTTCGTAGAGGATTATTTAATAATGTAAAAGGTTCCTTTTTATCACCTTCGATAAGAATAACAAGACCGCCACACAGAATATTATTATCAACAGCGGCTCAAGAAAATGATACTAATAACAGTAAGAATGCCCCAGCTTCTGAAAAAACTGAAAAAGTTGAAGAAATCGATGATTCTGCTGTAAAAGATAAACAAATAGCTGAGCTTAAGGTATCTAAATAAAATTTTAATCAAAAAAGAAAAAAAAAAAAGAAAATTTTATTAAATACTCTTTAAAACAACTATATATATATATATTATTTAGGATAGTTATCTTAGGTGTTTAGCAGATATGGAAAATTTACGAGAACGTACACGTAAAGAAGTAGAAAGTACAGCACAATTTGCTATACAAAAATTTGCCAAAGATTTACTTAATACAGTAGATATTTTAAATCTAGCTTTATCTTCCGTTCCTGCTGAAGTTCGCAATGATACTCAAAACAATCCTCATTTAGTTAATTTATACACTGGAGTTTCTTTAACTGAATCTGAATTATTAAATATTTTAAGGAGACATGGTGTTGAAAAAATTGAACCTTTAGGTCAAAAATTTGATCCTAATCTTCATGAAGCTATTTATCAAGTTAATGACCCTAATAAAGAACCTGGAATTGTTTGTGATGTACAAAAAGTTGGTTATTCTTTATTTGGTAGAGTTATTAGGCCTGCTCAGGTTGGAGTTAATAATAGTTAGATTTTAGTGAAAGATTAGTTCACATAAATATGGGAATAAAGAAATTCTGTAAGCATATAAAAATCATGTAATTTTGTTAAACAATACTATACCGTAGTTTTTCTTCATATATAAATCATTTAAATAGTTAAATAGTTTTATAGTTTTAATAATTTTTTAATAAAATTAATATATATAATCCAAAATTATTTTAATTAGCTTAATTAGCTTAATTGGAAATGCAGGTTTTAAATCGTGGATGTGTTTCACACAATTCATTTATCATAATTTATAAATCAAATTCTTTTACAATATTCTTTTGCACATTAATTACATTAATTGCAATTTATTCAATTTATTCTTATAATAGAGTAGTTCTACATGCTGAAGGGCTAAAGAAATTGCAATTTATTCTTATACGGTACAATAATAGAGTAGTTCTACATGCTGAAGGGCTAAAGATAACAAAATTAATCGAAAAAGTTTTTTGACATCTCATTATTATTAGTTATTAATTTAAAAAGGAACAATTGAAAATATAATTTATAGATATTTATATCATCTAAAAGTTGAATAATCAAAGCTAATTATAGGGTTTAACTCATACAGAATCAATAGAATCGATGTAAGTAGTAGGTAGAGTACGTTTTAAAAATTTATTAATTTATTTAATTTATTTATTAGAATTCTATTAACTAATTCTATTTGATTTTACTTATATATATATTAAGGAAGTTGCTGAAATAAGATGAATTTTATAAATAATAATTTTTCATTGTAAACTGGTATTTTTTATACCATAAACGGCTGATTATATTAAAATCACATACCAAAAAAAAAAAAAAAAAAAAAAATTACAAATTAAATTATATATATCGTCCAGCGTGTAAATTAAACAATAGATATATTTAATCAAATTCGCTAATATATAATATATAAAATAATCTTCGCTCTCATCCAGCGAGAGTCATAATTGTCAACTTTACACATTATTTACATCAAATCCATAAACTGAATCTCTTCCTCTATATTTATACTTACTTTTTTTCTTGCAGCACCGTGCAAACTAAGATATATTATAGCTCTTGAGAATATTGTTTTTACTAATAGTAACAAAAATAAATGTCATTCACTCACTATGTAAAGTTTTCTAATCCCTCCCATGATTCTCCGTCTCCATGGATTAGGATAATAAGGTCTTCTCCATGGATTCTCGTCATCTTCATCTTCGTAATTATCACTATAATATCTCCCTTGCTGTTGATGACTCAAATATTCAACTGTTGTCATATCCATCAAGTCTTTATAGAAGATCAATAAAATCAGTAAAAATTAATATTATTTCCAAACATAATAATAAATATAAGAAATACTTACATAATCTGATGTGAAAGAATAATAAATGTCCAACAAATAATACAACACATAAACTTACTATTATTAGGATAAGGTTAATAAATAACCCAATAACTATGATATAAGGAGTTGATGGAGAAAATATCTCATAAACTAAAATACAAGAGAATACAAATTTATTTAGATAAGTTTAATTTTAACGGTTTAAACCTTTTATTTGAAATTTGAATTTATACATACGGCTCATGAAATAATCGTCAACCGTTTCCGCACCAAAATATACATTTATAGCGCAAAGTGCAAGCCAAAGGCTCATTGTTGACGCGATAAAAGAAGATATTATAAATAATATGAACGTCCTATAATTGGCTTCCGCGATACAGCAATTTAGCCATCGACAATGATGATCAAAACCTTTTACGCACTTTAATAAAAAAGAGAGAAACTAAGCAAAAAAAAAAAAAAATATTAAGCATTTTATAAAAAATTAAATTTACCTTATTACAATATTTACAATGTCTTGTACCTGATCCTCTGTAAATTAAATGTTTCCATTGAGTCTTTATAATGTTGTAGTAAATGCGGCAAAATCAATTCGTACTTACACATTAGATCTACAAATATAACACCAGCCATCCACAACAACTGGAATTCCTGTTGTTCTTGCATATGACATATCTCTTTCCTTTCCTTCTCTCATCACACGTGCATCTGCTGTATCAGTTAATGAAACTTTTATGCTGGTAAAAATTACAATAAAAATAAAAAAGAATCCCAAAAAATTCCAAGTTGATCTCCTGTGAACATTATAAACATCATATTCCTTGAGAAACGCTTGCTCTTCATATTCTTCATCTTTAACTATGAATTTTATTGAAAATCCATAGTATCCTGTAATTAATATTATTATAACTATCCATTGCAAGACAAGCCAAATATCAAAAGGAGTATGATAACCATGGGTTCTATACCACGCGTTTGTGGTACGTTTAAAGTGGCTATTTGCTGAGGAAAAAAAGAACAAATTAAAACACGTAAAATAGTTTAACCATGTGTCAGAAGAAGTAAAGCCATGACCGGAACTAGAACGTGGTAGTCTGTGATATTTCATTTGCGGAATGAAGGATGAATATTGGATAGCGGTAATAAAGTGATATTTGATGTAAATAGAAAGCAAGAAGTGACTGTAAACAGTTTGGTTTTTTTAAAAAAATTTTGCTCTTTTAAAAGGTGTATTTTTCGTTATTAGTCGTTAAAAAGTTGAATTCCTTTACTATATCCTCATCTCTAAGACGAAAATTCGCTTATATATTTAAGTTTGCGAGAACTAAGGAAAGTTCTCCGACACAAGGTTTTTTTTTTCTTTTGTTCAAACTTTTAGATTTTTTTATATGCAAACTTACGACACAATAATGAACCAATCATAAATAGGTGGCTTAGGTAATTAACAATGAAAATGTATCAATAAAGAACTTTTAATTAATGCGATAGGGTGATGAGAATTTCCTATTGTAATGTTTAATTCCTTTTCATCCAAATCTATGCTGAAAGTTGATATGCATATTTATTATACACAGCGTAATTTTAATTTAACTTTGTAAATGCATTTTTATTAATTATTACATTTCCTTTTTTATTCTTATTATAACAGTTTTTTCCATCTTTAGTATTTATTATGAAGTGATGAATAAACATGAATGAGAAGATTTATATTTCATACGAACTTTAATTTTACCTATCAAAATACATAATAATTTAACAAATGTCTCTTTAAAATGAAAATTCATTTATAATCTATCTTTTCAAATAATATACTTCTTAAGAATCATTTTGACGAAGATTCATTGCATATTCACGGGATTTCTTTAATTTTTCATTATAAGTTATTAAATCAATTAGATCAAATCTACGTGATCTTGGATCAGTAGGCGTTCTTGGTAATTTATCATTCGGATCAAATATGATTCCAATATATCTCCTTTCTGGTCTTTCTGGATACGTATAAAATTTTACGTAACCTGGTTGTAATGCTTGTATCGTAAAATCTTTTCCTATTTTTACCTAATAAATACAAACATAGAAATTTAATATATAATTTATATAAATTAAATTATTTTAAAGTTGCGTACATGTTCACCAGGATGAAATTTTGTACCATGTTGTCGAACAATGATATTTCCTGCTTTGACATATTCGCCTACATAAAATTTATATAAATTAATAATAATTTTTTTTTTTTTAAAAAAAAAAAATTTTAAATGATACTTAACCGTCAGATTTCTTTATTCCTAAACGTTTACCAGGCGAATCACGGTTGTTATGTGATGATCCTCCAGCTTTCTTTGTAGCCCACCGTTGTTGTATCGTATTTACCTCTGATAATCAAAAATGACATTTATTATCACTTTTTAAAAGAAATAATAATCCTAAAATATATAGAATGATATTAAATTAACCATTTTGCTTTTGCAATAAAAACTCATTTTTATATTTGATCGAAATCGGAATTGGTTTTTTATAATAAACTTGTCGAAGACTTCGGGAAACGTTAGAAAGAGATATAGAAGACATTATATTATTCTAAAAAAAAAAAAAAATTTTGTTTTATATATGGATTTAATTAGTTATTTTTTCATCCCAAGCGAAAATTCGTTTACGGAGATTACTATCAAAAATTTAACTAGTATACGAACCAATCACAAATGAGTGGCTTAGATAATGAGTTACAATAACACTTATAACGTAATCTAATATTAATAGCGCATTGATTAATCTCTTTTAACATTTGAACATGGCGCAACAGTAAGGATAAATTCCAATATTATTTTATAGTAACAGACGAGACTTCCTACTAAAACTCTATTTTACTTATGTAGACCTTTTAGTTTCGGTTCACTTAATAATTCTTCCACCGGTTTTGGACGTGGTTTGAAATTAAATACGTTATCTACCGGAGGATCAGGTTTCAATATTGGTAATACACTAGGAGGCCCAACAGTTAGTATAGGTTCTACAACTCAAACGACATCAGAAATAGAGAAGTACGTTTATAATTTATTATTATTATTTATTTATTATTTTATAAATTAAACCTAACTGGGACTTATTTGATACTTACAGGACGTTAATTAGACTAGCACAAGGGTTCGTGTTATCATACTTCATTGAAACTTTACAAATTTCTTAATTAAATTTAATTAAATTGAATTAAATGTTTTTTAGGGGACAACTAGCCGCAAATATAACAAAAGCAACAAAATTCTCAGATCTTAGTGAATCAGATCAAAAGTTAATTGTTGATATAGAGTATCCTTTGATCGAAGAAATTTTCTGTAAAATTATACTAATAAATACGATTTAGAGTTTTTTTTATTATTATTCCTTAACATATTTTCAGGCAATATATACAAAATCAAAAATTAATAATGTCTAATATTGAATCCACACATCTACCGGATTTGAATGATTATGTAAAAGAAGTTGCGAATGAGTCTCGAACATTATTTCAGGTTGCGTTAATATTTTATTATAGCAAATTATCATTTGGCGTTTTTATTCATTGTGTGACAATAATCGATTGTCCACATGTAGGCCAGGCTAACCTGCTGAACATATACCGTATAGAAATTGGCCTCCTTGATGAATGAATTACGGACTACTCATAGTCAAATAGACGAGCGATTGAAAGATTTAGAGGATCAAATTAAGATGGTAGATAACGGTAAACGTTTTTACGACGCTGCTTCTCAAGGGCAAAGCGGAAACATTTTACAAATTGGAGATAATATATTCGCAAAGTATGTTTGACTCACACTAGCTTATATTTGTTTATTTTAAAGTTTTTTATATTGATTTAATTATTTTTAATAGATATTATCATGATCTTGTAATTTCTTTTGAAGAACGATTACGGCAATATTCTTCTACGATCGATGTTAGCTTTTTTCTAAAATTTGATCTTATTTCGTCGGTATTTAATATATTATTAATCTTTTACCGATTATATAGGAAATAGAACGACACTTTTCTTCGTTGGCTCAAAATCGCAGTAATGATACTGAGAGTACGTAAAATTGCTTTTAATGATTCCATCAAGTTTCAACTTTAGTTCAATTATTGTTTAATAATTTATGTAGATAAAGAACTCGCCTCACTTAATGAGTCTATGCGTAGTCAACATCAAAGTTTTATGGTTATTACTGGAAAGGTGGCAACGTTACATGAAGAAATGGATAAACTTCGAGAAAAATATCTCAGATTTCGAAGAACCTATTCTCATGATAATTCTAATCCATTTGAAATACAAAAGGAGCCGAGCATAGATAGTAAGTAATCTTATAAATTATTTGATTCTGAGGATTACTTTATTAATCTCAAATTTGCATTAGTTGCTCGTGAGACTTCCTTTAATGAAAGAAAACCGGCACAAGAGTTGGCAAAAAACCTTCCGGTAGTAACATCAGCTGCTCAACTTAATCAATTAAATCCACCCAGTCAAATTGAATTAATTAGACCAGCCACTCAACCTCTTGTCCAACCGAGTCAACCCAATTTATTCGGTCAATCCAGTCAAACTAGCTTATTTGGCCAAACTAATTTATTTGGTCAATCCACTAGCCAACCTAGCTTATTTGGTAGTCAGCAGAGCTTATTTGGTCAAACCACTAGTCAACCAAATTTATTTGGACAATCTAATTTTGGCCAACCCGCCAGTCAACCAAGTTTATTTGGACAATCTAATTTTGGTCAAAGCACCAGTCAACCAAGTTTATTTGGTCAATCTGGCTTTGGACAGCCCGCCAGTCAACCAAGTTTATTTGGACAATCTAATTTTGGGCAAAGCACCAGTCAACCAAGTTTATTTGGACAATCTAATTTTGGGCAAAGCACCAGTCAACCAAGCTTATTTGGTCAATCTGGCTTTGGACAGCCCGCCAGTCAACCAAGCCTATTTGGTCAATCTAGCTATGGTCAATCTAGCTATGGTCAATCCACCAGTTTGTTCGGACAAACTAGTCAACCCAGCATGTTTGGACAACCAAACCAATTCGGGCAGTCAACTCAACCCAGTTTATTTGGACAACCAAGCCAGACCAGCCAAGCAAGTTTATTCGGTCAACCAGGTCAATCAAATGCGTTTGGCCAACCAGGTCAATCAAATGCGTTTGGCCAACCAAGTCAATCAAATGCGTTTGGCCAACCAAGCCAATCAAATGCGTTTGGTCAAACAAGTAATAAACCCCCGTTTAATTTTCGACCTACCACAACCACTACTAGCTCGTTTACTTTTCCCAAACGATGAAAATAAAAAAAAGGGGGTGAATTATGAAGCAATTTTTATTAAATTACATAGATTCTTTTAATAAAGATTATAAAATAACTGAATATACATAGTTATTTGAGTAAAAATATGAGAGAAATTTTATTTTTGTTCTTCTGTTGTTGTATGAATAAATATTTTTTAAAAATTGATAATCAAATTTTTATATGATGTTTTTTCAGTTATTAATTATAGAGATAGAAGATCATAGAAAATATATTTGATTTTGATCGAATGTAATAATGAACCAAAGGCGAATGATCGAAATTAAAATAAAACCTTGCATTCCGGTACTAGCTTAATCTTTGGATACTGAATAAGTGCCAACAATAAAGAAAACGTACTAACTTAATTTTTGGATATGGATAATAAGTGCTAATGGTAAAGAAATCCATGAACCGTTCACAAATTCTAGTACAGTACACTGTTGGAAAATGATCTCGAGTACTTAAAAGAATTCTTGATATCTAATTTCGTTTTTTGAGTATAAAAAAACTTTCAATAGCTTTTAACTCAGAATTTATATTCCTTTTGAAATATGAAATTGAATAATTGAATGTTAATTTATAATTTTTCATTGATTGTTTATTCATGAGTAGCTTTATTGAATTTATTTACTTTAGAACTTATTAGCTGATATATTCTCCCATGGTTTACACTGCGGATAGATTCATAATCACATGATTTAGATGGCGTCGGCTACTATATAAAGTTTGTGAATTTATATAATCTTATCTGGTCGCGTGTTTCAGAAATCAAATCTATTATTCTTTACAACTTTTTTTGCCTACCTCATTTTAATTTCCTCAGAATGGTTCATTTGGTTCATTTCTTGCAATACGTGTTCTCGTTTTGTTTTTCAAGCTCCACCAATTGATGAATGAATTTATCAGTCCAAGTTCATTTTTATGATAACGCGAATTTTTTTTAGGATTTTATAGATTAGACTTCCTATAGATCAAAGTAAAATAAATTTAATTAACATTTCATCTCTCTAATTATAAAATTATGTTAAATAGTTATTGATTAAGTACGAATTGAATTATATCTAAATAATTGTTGGTAATATACTTCTTTTTGTCCCTTAGCTTATAATGATCCTTATCAACAAGATCAATGAACCCGTTCTTCAGGCAATTGTTGAACTTCATTTTATCATAAAAACATCATATTCTGGAAATTTGTCTGATATTTTTGTTTTAGGAGAAGTTTCTATTAATATAATAGTAACTAAAATATTTTTCATTTAGTTGGTTTAGTAAAAAATATTAATGGAAAAAAATAAATAAAAGAATTATAAAATACTGATGAATGTATCAAAGTAAACAAACTATAACTGATAACAGATAAATGAAAATATTAGAATAAATAATTAAAAGTGTATATACTGTAATGAAGTATTATGTAAGATATGATGAAACTATTTATTATTTAATTAGTTTATAAGTTTCTGATTGAGTTGTGAATATTTGTTGTCCAAAAAACTAAGTATAATAATTATTGGATACAAAAAAAGTATTGGAGTTGTATATTCTGATTTAGAAGAATTACTAGGTTCGAGTGTTCTAACTTAATAAGTTTTTAAAGAAGTGTCTAAAAAATCCTCTATATTGAATTTTTCAGTGATTCACAAATTTTATTACATTAAACAAAATATATCCTATATTCCTATACTCTCACTTGTTATGTAATACTGTATAATATCATTTTCGTTAAACTCAGAATTTTATGAATTACTTGAAAATACTTTAATTCTTTGTGCCATCTATAATATCTATTAATTACTTCTATGATAATGCTTGCTTTATTTTTAAATATCTTATGATTTATATAACAATATTGATTTTATACTCTAACTGTTAATGTAATTTTTTATTTTATTCTGTTATGATATTGTCATCATCATTTACAGCCGTGAGTTTAACTTCATTCAGTCATCTGGAACATTTGTTTAGCTTTTGATGCTTTATCTTGGACAGATTTTGAATTACTGGCTTGTTATATTCCAGACTTTAAAAAGAAAGAATATTCGGCGTACAATACAGTATATATTACGTATTTTGTTTTTTTTTACGTTTGTGTTAACATGAGTAAGATAATGTCTTTCACAAGTTTTTTAAAATCATTTCTTTATATTTATTTGTTCTCTAATATATTTCAATTTTAATTTTAATGAATCTATTGAACGTTTCTTCACTATATCTGTTCATTTGCATATTATATAAAAATTATAAAAATTCCAAAATTAATTTTTATTAAGACCTCATTTGTTCAATAGAAAAATAATAAATTAGTACAAACCTTTTTTTAGTTTCTGTCCAATATGTCAAATTATGTTAAATTGGTATAAAGAAACATTCATGAGTTTCAAATTAAAGCGCCGAACGAATCGTTCCAGACCAAACTAATTTTTAAAAACTGAAATAACTCGACTTCTAATTAGAATCGTTTCATCAAGAACATCGATTGGTGACAAAATCATGTCTCTAGCATCGATAGACAGTGAACTATTAACAGTTTTTTTAAAAAAATTTATTTATTGTGATATTTAACGATTTATTGATACTTGAAACAACCAATCGATGCGCCTTGGTGAGATAATTCTAAAGAGCTATAGTACGTCTTATTTAATCACCGGGAAACTTAAATATAAGGCAAATCTCTGCGTGATATAGTTAAAAAAGTTTTTTTTCCTCTGTTTTCACAATTTAAATAATTATAAAGGAAGAAATTCATTTAAAAAATAAATAAAGTTTATTATATGAAATAGAAATCGCGTAACGGGTATATATAAAGAAATCTAGAAAAGAAAAGAACATTTATTTCGAATGTTGATGAAATTATTACCAAATGCTGCCAGATATAATATTGCTAATACATGTCAAACATAAAGTAAAATAGCTAGATGGATAGGATGAATAACGTTTATGGATGGGAAACCTGAACCTGTTCGTGTTTTGAGCCGATTCCAATTTGATCAGGAACCGTTCAAAACTGAGTTTACTCGTAACAAAACTGAACCAAATTAATTGGCTCATCCTTAATAACATTACAAAGATGAATATTTTATGGTTTTAATTAGAGATATACTGTAGATATAATTGTTTTCAAATCGAATAGTAATATTAAGGCTTCATTATCAGATTCAAAAATGGAGGGATATATGAAACTGAATATTCCAAGGTGAATAAATAATTCAATTTATTTCATTAAATCGTTCTTTTTCGCTTAATTTGTTTAATTTTATAAATAGGCGTTATTTTATTATTTTACATTTACATGATAAACAACTAAATATGATGATAATATCAAGTATCTTCCTTCAACTTATCAATGAAAGAATTAATTTTCTATTCGAAACAAACGATTATTTTCCGAAACATCCATCTCTTTCCAAATTTCCTTTGCTTTGTCCACACTATTTAGGACTTCACTCAACATTTGACTATCCTCATGTGTTATAATTTTTCTATTAATTAAATTTATAATTCTCTCAATAAAATCATTAAGATTATTTTTATATAAGTTGAGACTTTCTTTGATTCTTATAACTTCATGATCAATAGCCATCAATTGATCCATTTGTCTTCGTTCAATATCTAACTTTTGTTGAACTGTTTCCATATCATATATTTGTTTATATGTTGACTCATTCTCATTAATGTAATTAATAATATTTGAAAATCCTTGAGCATTATTATAACCACGATATAACTTTTGAATGTCTTGAATTTCTTTCTCAATTTTAACAAATTTACCATGAAATCTTGTTATTAGATTGAGAACTTGACCTAATCTTGAATAAAAATATTGTGCATTTTTTTGAGTCAATAAAGGATCTTTAGATCTTGATATCAAATTGTATACTTTATCATAAAAATATTGTGTCTCTTCTTTTTGAATTAATAATAAAGGATCATCTTTAGAAGATATCGATAAATTTTGTTGAATATCTTGGAATTCATTAAAAAGTTCATCAAGTGTAAATGAACCAGAAACATATATACTTCCAATATATTTTCCTACATCGTATGTCTTATCACCAAGATTTTTAAGATATAATGAGGGAGATAAATTGGTAGGATCTGAACTTGAGGATATGACGTCGGACAAGTAAATCGAAATTATGCGAAGATCTTTTACGTTATCACTTGCTAAAATATTTTAAAAAAATATTAAAATAATGGTAATAATGATAAATAATGATATAGTTATTATTACGTGATTTACCTGGTATATTAAATTTAACAAGATCTTCAATTAATATTGTAGTTGAATTGGCAAGATTACGAAAGACTGGGTCATCAATTGGCTAACGAACGTAAAAATAATTATTAAAATAATTTACGAAAACCGTTCAAATAAACCAAATAATCTAAACGTCTAAAACAAGCTTACCATCCGAAAAATTTCATTCAAGATATTCAAGATACTTTCTATTTTTAACCTCTATAAATTATAAAATAATGAAGTAAAATTAATATTTATAAAAATGAAACTTAAAGACCAACGGGCGAATAATTATTACATACCGAATATTCCAGTAATTCCACCTTATATAAAATTAATATATATAAAATTATTGAAATAAAGACAATAATTAATGTCGCAGCAGATTTCGCTGGGAGGGCGTACGTGTCTTGAACAATTTGTTGTTCCGATTCTTGTGAGAGGGAAGCGCTAGCTTTGCCGTTATTATTTGTAGGCGGCTGTTGATTTTGAGTATCCATACGGGCACGCTTAGGTTGAGAGGGTAAAAATTGGTTCATCTTTTAGTTTTGATATTTGAAGGATTAATGATTTTTTTTTTCACAATTTTTAACTTTAAAAAAGGGTGATATGGAAATTTCTTTTCTGACATAATCGGTTGATAATTAACGTATTGGAAATTCGTTGATGGGAAAAATGCCATATTTAGTTAGTACAGATTTTCATCATTTTTTAGAATCTTGTTTTTCCTTCTCACACTTTCTTATCACTGCATAAATGATATGCATTGGCGTTACAAATATGCTCAAAATTAGTTGGTTTTGTTCGCATTTTCTTTCACACAATTTCCTTTCACACACGTCTTCATATGCAAATGTGTTACAAATTACAAATAAACAATTTGATTAAGAATATTATTTTCCTACACTTTTTCAAAAAACTTTTCTATCCTCGAAAATTTATAAAGTGAAAAATCAAATGCGGGATGATACAATAAGAATGGATGAACAAAATCTTCGTTCGTCGCAAGCTAGTGGAAGTGAAAGGTTCGACACCAACAATTCAGGTATTACTACTATTATTATTACGATAAATGTATGAAGTTTGAATATATTTTAATATACTTTTTTCCCAATATTGCATTCAATAAATCTGATTAGAATTTAGAAATCGACGTCGACCTTCTATACAATCTCAATCTACCGTTGAAGACCACCGTAACCAAATTAATCAAAATAGACGTAGAATAATTCCTTGTGGAAGGCGTTGTATAATTTTGACTATTTTTATTATTATAATTACGATTTATGTGTTCATTCCTTTCAAATCTTTCAAACATGTAAGAAATTATTCTTAACGTATGGAAATTTTATGAGAGTTCGCATTAATTTTCATTGTTTATACTTATCGTACCTTTTTTTTCCCATGATATAGGTGACTTTTATGAAAGAAGATAATTCAGAATCGGATGAATCAGATTCGATTTTTGAAAATTTGGCTAAAATGGCAGAATCTACCTCAAAGAAAATTGACGAATTCGATATTCCGGGTATGCTCTAGTATAATTAAACTAATCTTGCTTTATATATTGATACTTATTATTATATATAAATACTAGGAACGTCAGTCATGAACAAATATCGCGCTGTATTTATTAATCTTGGAGCACTTTTGAATCGTAGTGATGTAATTATCAATAATGGTGCTCAGATTTCTCGAGTTCTCTTTGAGCTTTCAGATCATTATAGAGAAGCTGGAAAAGAAATCTTGGGATTTAGAAGACAAGCTGATTCTTTTTTCGAATCTCTTTCTAGTGAACTAGATGATGTTTTGGATATTGTAAATAAAAAAGAAAATTTCTGGACAAATGATCTCGATATGGATGACATTATCTCTGTCAAACAAAGATTAAGAGTATTGCAAAGTATTGTGCCTGATTTACGAGTACAATTAGGACGTGTAATCAAAGCTCTGAAAAATATTGAAGAAAAGTCAGTTCATACTCAAGGTTATTTGATGACCGGAGAGAAAGAAGCACAGGAAGTGTTAAAACAACACTGGCTTGGAAGTATTGCTGATTATAATGGTCGGGCTCGGGCAGAAGAAGAGAGAAAACAAGTGCTATATGTACTTCAATTATTGAAAGATATGTTACCAAATCTTTTTGATTTTCAAGATTTTTTAGAGGAATATGATAAACAATTGCAAGAAGTTTATTCCAAGTTTGAAAATGTTGGCACAATGTATAAGCCGTCTAAAAAGGCATTAAATAGGCTGATAAGTGCCGCTAAGAAATTAGAGACTAGTCATAGAAATTTTAATGGAGAGGAGAATCGGTTGGGACAAAAACCTAAGGATCATCTATTTCTTGAAGATGAGATGAACGCGATGAATAGAGATTGTACTGAGTTCAATGTTAAATTCAAAAAATCTGATGATGTTTATGTTAATAAAATTCGTATTTGGAGTACACACTTTATTAACGCACTCGCGTTTTACTTTTCTGATGGTTCTATTGAAATGTTTGGGACACCGGGACTTAGCGAGGCCTTTGATTTCGAATGGCACAAAGATGAAAAAATTAAGCGTTTTGTTTTCAGATTCGCATCCGTAGTATACGGTTTAGAAATTATTACAACTGAAGGTAGGAGTACTGGATGGCATGGAGGTCAAGGTGGACGAGCTTTCTATACTGAATATGAATGGGGAATTGGGGGATTCGAGGGTTTATTTGGTAGCTTTTCGAAATATATATGTAGTTTAGAAGTTTTATAGTCAATGGCTAGATTATTTTAAGACTATAATTTTGAAATATCTATTATGTTTATACCGCCAAAATTTATTAAATATATATATTGTATAGTTATGTATATAAAGTTTACACAATATTTCTTTTGTTTCACAATAAACCCTCTTATAAATATAGTTAACATATAAAATTCTCTATAATAAACGATGTGTCATTTTAGTTAGTTATATATTTGCTTAATTTTGCTTAGTTTTTATGTCCCACAGAATCGTTGCGTACGGATCGTTACGTACGGTAAGTAAAGAGGGATAATGAGAAATTTTGATGCGCGCAAAGTTTTTTCAGAAACAGAAATTATAAATATGTTATGTTTAGGAAGTGAGTTTGCTGAAACTTCAATCTTTCGGACTTCAACCTTTCAGACCAGCAATAATTCGACGCGGGAATCTGAACAAGCTTTCTAAAGGTGGTAGTATTGACGATATACTGTGCAGTCACTGCAGTGTACAGTATATTATATGTAATTGATTCCTTTATTTATGATAATTAATTAATAATTTTTCTTCTATACCTGTAGAATGAGTTAAAATCGGTAATTTTTAACGAGAAAATCATACAACTTATTTTAAAAATTGATATAATAAATGAGATTTTTAATTTTTTAAAAATTTATTATTCGCATTTTGCATATGGTTCTGAATTATAAAATGATAAAATATTTTAAAGTTTTTTTTTTTGATCTTTGGTCCAATTAAATAATTGACTTGATAAATTAAATTATCAAAATGAATGGAGCCGGGACTAAAAAGAAAAAAAATAATCAGACAACAACGAATATACAAATTTTAAGTAATTTTTGTTCAACGCCAGTTTTGTCTTTTAACTTATCGTTATCTTCGGTAAACTTTACCTCGTGAATGTGCTCATAAACATTAGCTACTCTTCGTATTAAATAACATGAGATGCGTGTGCAAAGGTGAGATCTTTAAGGACCGTTTCATCCGTAATATAATATTTATTCATTACCCAAATCCTTCATAGTTGTGTATGACTAAACGGAACAGGTATTATAAGTTTTTTAAATTTTTTTTATTTTGCGATATTTGCATTATAAAAACAAAAAAAAAAAATCGTACTAATTAAATCTTTTTCTGACCATTTTGAGGGGCGAGTAATTTCAATTATTATAACTTGTTATTAGAAGAAGACTTATGCTTTAAAGTAATATAATTTTGACAATTAATTTCAACATCACGATAAACGGATAATGTGAAAAAAATTCTATAATAAAATTTTGATATATCATCATTTTTTTTTAATTTTAATTATTGTTTTTCTTATAATGAAGTAACATTCTCTAATTTATTATTAAACGGTTTACTCCTATAGAATATTAAGAACTATATAAGGATTGTTGGAACAAAGACCACCCATCAGTATAATTATGGGAAAATGACAATCGCTCATAATGAGTTAAACCCGTGGAATTACTAACTTATAATAAATTACAAATTTTTTAAAAAAGATGCAATTATAGTTAGCAGTTTTGACCAATTTCTAATTTTAGGAATAGGCTGTTTTTTAAATCACGTTATTTGAAAATCATGTGATATGTAAAACCTAAGTTAAGACTAGGTAATTATTACTAAAACATATGTAAAATTTTTAAATATGAAATAATATTTCAATGATATGAATCTATCATTAAATGAAGTATTTATATTTTCTAGAAAAAAGAAAATTTTTCGTTAAATTTAATAAGTTCGTCTATTTATAGTTCAACAAATAACAAAAAAATTTATTGTAACATTATCCAAAAAAACACTTATGAATTTCATCTAAAAAAATGTGAGTACTATTTAACAACATGAATGGTATTTGTATTGTATCAAATATGGCAAATATTTTATATAATTTCATGGAATACTTTTACGTAATGACTTGACCTAATTTATTCTTCCAACCGGCTTATATTAATATTTTTTTTGATATGTTAATTATGATTTTGTTGAATTTCATGTACTAATTTAATAAAATATTTTCAGCTTAAGATATAAAATTAAGAGAACCAGTAGCGAAAGAACTAGAGGTAGACGGACATTAAGGAGAAACTGGCAAATCAGCTTACGTGCCTGGCTTCTATTATAGAATAATAAATTAGTATTCTCTTTTTTTAAAAAACAATACTAAGATCTCTTATTTATAGTTATGAGTTATGACTTCCTTTATATTTTTGGTACAACTTTGGATTTTATGAAAATAGTAAATTTTAAATTTGGCAAAAAACTTACGATATCCATTTTTTTTATAAATGGTAACTGATAAATATATATGTGTCACGTTAATTTTCTTATATATTTACAAAGGCAGTGACCTACAATTTTTTAATATTTTTACTAAATAAAATTAAAATATTATTAAATTAACAATTAATATATTTAAATGATAATATTATTTATTAATACTTTTTCACTTCTCATAATTTCTTCAGATATGTTTATTTAATAAAATTTTATTAATTATTTTTAAATTAATAATATATATGACAAGATGATACGCTATCAATCTATATACGGTAAATATCTAAAATTTAATAAGGATTTATATTTCAATTACTTTTAAAAACAATTCCAAATTTTCTTGAATATGTTAGATTTGAAAAACTTCCTTAAAAGTTTATCCTTTAATCGTGTTAATAAATTATATAACTGTCACCGATCATTGATTATTCATTTATTAACAATTTTGTTTTTTGAGTTAAATTGATGGTCGAATAAATCATATTTTAATAAAGCCACCACTTTTAATTACATAATACTTACTATATTTAGTTACACATTTTATTTATTTTATTTCCGTGATGGTCAAAAGTGTGCCAGGTACACGTTTTTACGACAGGTGACCTGCCGTTTTGCAAAACGTCACAGTCGTCACACTATTGACATTAAGTTCCTCTGTGTATTTTAACTAGTCTTTTTTTGATAATTTTGTTGCCGATCTTGAAATCATTGACAAAATAAAATAACTATTTTTTTTCATTAATTTTTTTTTTATTCTATTTTTAGTACGAATAAATTATTTTATTTAAAATGGATGAAATTAAACTAAGTGATGATGTAATTAATCAAATAAAAAAGTTTTATCATCGTTCTTTGACTAAAGAACAAGAATTGTTAATTGATAAACTAATAACAGACAAAGAATCAAAAGAACGTTATAAAAAATATGGTTTGTGTAAAGAATGTAACCATCCAAGAAATTATATATATTGCAATTATTGTCTTTTTCAACCAAATTTCAAAAATTGGACAAGTGGAAATCATGATGTTGATAAATTTATTCAAAAAGTACAATTAAAAGCTAAAAGTTTTGGTCAAGTCATAGAATGGATTGAATATGATAAATTTGAAAATGTTGAATATTTAGCAAAAGGGGGATTTGGAACTACTTTTAAAGCAGTTTGGAAAGAAGGTCCTATTAGTAATTGGAATTTTGACAATAATCAATGGGAAAGACATGGTGGTGTCAAAGAAGTTGCTTTAAAGTGCTTACATAATTCACAAGGTATTACAGCAGAATTTTTAAAAGAAGTAAGATATTTTCTTATGAATCTTTATTAGCCTTTTATTATAAATGTTAAACTAACTATAATTTTTATTTAAGGTTGAATCAAATAGTTTAGTATATGATTCTGGCTATACAGTTCCTTGTTTTGGAATTACCAAAGATCCAAAAACAAATGATTTTATGATGGTGATGGAATTATTAGATAGTAGTTTAAGACAACATTTAAATAACAACTTCATTTCAATGAATTGGAAGGAAAAGTTGTTTACTTTATATACTATTGCATATGGTCTTAAAGATATTCATAATAAAGGATTAATTCATCGTGATCTTCATTGTGGGAATATATTAAGCAATGACATCCATCAGGCTTTCATTACCGATTTGGGATTGTGTCAACCCGCAAATGTTAAATCCTATCAAAATAGTAATAAAAAAATATATGGAGTATTACCTAATGTAGCTCCAGAAGTTCTAAGAGGAAAAGAATATACTCAAGCAAGTGATATTTATGGATATGGAATTATTGCATATGAAATTTGTACAGGTTTTCCTCCTTATTATGATATAGCTCATGATGAATTCTTAGCAATGAAAATTTGTAAGGGGTTGAGGCCAAAGTCTAATTATAAAATCCCTCAATTAATTTTTGACATTATTAATCAATGTTGGGATGCAGACCCTTTAAAACGACCTGATGCTAATAAATTATATGAGTTATTTAATAATTTATGGTCAAATTGCGATAAAAAAAATTATATTATCAATAAACAAACCAATGAAGCAGATGAAATTAATAAAAAGTCATCATCTTCATCTTCAACAGCTCAATTACCATTATCTTCTACAAGTACACTCTCATATATAGCACATACTCAAGCAGTTTATATAAGTAAGCTTTTAGATTTTAAGAACCTTCCAGAACCCAAAAATGCAGACAATGATAATTTAGAATATTCAGGTAATTTTATTCAAAATAATTATTTAAATTTATTTAGACTAATAAATATTCTTTTATTTTTACAGATTCTGTAAGAATAGATTTTACAAAACTCAATATTACTAGTAATTCTAAAGGTAATTATTTGAGTTTATTTTACTTTATAATGATTTATTTATTAAATTAACATAATCATCAATTCGTTTAATTAGATGAGTAAGGGCATTAAAATGAAATATTCATTATTTCTTATCACTTTTGAAGATGAATTTAATCAAGTTTTATCAAATATTGTTCTAATTAATAAATTATTCTTGAATGAAAGTATAGTAATAAGAGACTGCATTCAAGGAGATGTTAGTTGCATATTAAAAATGTAATCCTGTAGTAATTGAATTTTAAATATGAAATTTACTTCAAATTATTATTTAATATATTGTACAGTAAATGGTTAAGGTGTGAATGGTTCTATATATGATAAACCATGTTACTATAACAGATAAGTAAATATGTAAAATAATAAAAATAATTCTTTTACCTGCACTTTATCGTTATATCAGTTTGAAACATAAAATATGAAAATAATATTATCGTTTAACTTTTTGAAAATTTTAATTGGGTATAAATTATAATCTTGATTAACTTTACCTAAATTGGTAAATAAATACAGTAAATAAATTATTAACTAATACATTTTTTTTTTCTTTTTTGCATTTCTTAAATATGAAAGATACTGTACAATTAGGGATGGCAACGGTCACAGTCATTAACCGGTTATGACCGGTCATGACCGTGACTGATATCGGTCGGTCAAAGACCTCTGACCGACCGTTTGACCGACCGTTTAACCAATCCTGAAAATGTTTGCGAAACGTAATTTAATAAAAAAATGTTTCGCAAACGTTTTTTTAATTATTGTCCGGAGCGTAGCGAAGGACTATATAATTTTACGAAGGTCAATGACAATTAGTATCACGTGGCGATTTCCATTTGTTCGCACGCGTCATTTCTGATTGGTCCGCACAGAATGTGTATTGGAAATTTTGTGCTACATCAAAAATAAACAAGTAAAAAAGTTTATGATTACCTTTTTTTTAGTAAGTATATTTTTCTTTTAAATGACTTTCTTATTTTTTTTCTAGGGTTTCTGGATTTCTTGTACATACTGGACTGCTAGTGAGTTGTTTTTTATTTGTTTTGCTTTAAAGAAACGTTTTTAGTGTTTCATTTTTATTTTCTTTTATCTAGGAACACAGGTTTTTTGTATATGCCGGACTTTTAAAGGTAAATTGTGAGGGCTTTTCTTACTTGTTTAACCTTAAAGAAACGTTTTTAATGTTTCATTTTTTATTATTATTTTTTAGGGATGCCAGATTTTTTGTACAAATTGAATTTTTAAAGATTTTGGATTTTTGTACAAATCTTTCGCTCTGAACTTACAACGGTTTCCGTTTCCTAGTTTTAATAGAAAACGTTGCGAAAACGTTTTTTATTAAGTATTTCAAACGTTTTTTTATTAAATTACATTTCGCAAACGTTTTCAGGATCAGTTAAACGGTCAGTTAAACGGTCGGTCAGACTGGTCGGTCAAAGGTTCTTGACCGGTTATGACCGACCGATGACCGACCATGACCGACCGTTGCCATCCCTATGTACAATATGAACGTTCAGCTAATAAATTTATAATTTTTTTTATTTCAAAAGATTAATATTGAAGAACAAAATTATTAAGATTTTTACATAAATTTGCAAATATTTTTCTAAATTTAATAATGTAAATAAATGTTTTATAATTACTATATGCCTCGCTAGCCCGGGATTAAACCCAGATTTACCTGGGACAAAATTTAGATAAAATCTGAGATAAAACTCAGATTTATTCTTATTTCCTCCAGATTTATCCCATATATTTTACTCCAGATAAATCTGGTAATTAATCCTGGAGTCGACCTTTATTTTATTTCGTTTATACTTCACTGGCAATTATATTACCTATTAAATTAAATATTACATTAGTTATTACATATATTTATTCATTTATTATTAAAAGATTTATTAAAATAAAATGCAAAATTAAATTTAAAAATTATAATTTCATATCTATAACTATAATTTTTATTACAGCAAATTTCAAAATATACGGAACACTTAAGAAATTTGATTGTCGGGTTGTCGGGTAGCCGGGTTACTCGGCAGTAGGTTGTTTATTAGAAAAGTATAAATAACACGTGACGAGTATAATGAATAGTAGTATATCAGATTATATAATAACCTACTGCTGAGTAACCCGACTACCCGACTACCCGACAATCAAATTTCTCAAGTGTCCCGTATATTTTGAAATTTGCTGTAATAAAAATTAGTTGTAACTAGGGATGGCAACGGTCGGTCATGGTCGGTTATCGGTCGGTCATAACCGGTTAAGGGCCTTTGACCGACTGACCGTTTTGGCTGACCGTTTTTCTGACCGTTTAACCGACCATTTAACCGATCACTATTTTCTTTTTAACGAATTTTAATCAAGAAAAAACGTTAAAAAGTGTAATTTAATCAAAAAAAAATGTTATTTAACTTTTTTTATTGATTAAGTTTGTAAAAAGGTGTTATTTGGCTAAATAATCAGTTAAACGGTCAGTTAAACGGTCAGTCAGAGGCCTTTGACCGACCGATATTGGTCACAGTCATAACCGGTCATGACCGGTTAATAATCGTGACCATTGCCATCCCTAGTTGTAACCTGTTGCCTGTTGCGTTGCAACAGGATTAATACATAATATTAACTTAGAGTTTTATTTATTTATAATTTTGGATTAAAATGTGAGTGAAAAATAAGAATTTGATTGAAATTTTACATTAAAATAAAATAATTAATTAATTAATAATAATAATAAAAAGAAACAATATTGGAAAAAGTATTTTAAATTATTTTTTTTTTTAGCTGGATATTTTTTTAAAAATCATATTTATTTTAACTAAAAAAAAATCATATAAAATATATTTATTCAAAATAAAAAAAAACAATATTTATTTAAATTACATTGCAGCAATGGCCCGATCCAAACTTAAAGAACAAAAAAAAATAAAAATAAAAATAAAAATAAAAAAAAATAGGAAAAAGAAAGTATTAGTAAAAAAAAAAAATAACCAAGAAAAAAAAAATTAAAAAAAATCAGAAAAAATGGTGCTTACTGTAGCACCACAGTATCGATCTTTAAACCTAAAAGGTGAAAGAACAAAAAAAACCAATTAGAAAAAAATATTACTATATGGAAAAAAAATTAAAAACCGAAAAACTTAATAAAAAAAGAATCAGGTTAAAGAAAAAAAAGATGAAATAAATTTAATTTCGGTTTAAAAAAAAGCCAAAATAATCATGTCTCCCAAATGGTAAAAAAAAAATGATATTAACGTTAACCGGAACTGGATTAGTTCACAAAATTATTTAAAAAAAATTACATTTATTTATATTTTACGGTTTATATAATAAGCGTGATATAATCGCCGGTGAAGTTTAAGGTCAATCTCGGATTAAACACCAGATTTATCTGGGGTAAATTGGTAAAATATGGATAAATATGGAGGGGGAAATGGATTAATACGAGATTCCGAGTTTTATAATTTTATCCCGGGTAAATCTGAGGTTTAATCCTGAAGACCCGAACTTTTGATCAGTATTGAGTCGTGCTCGATCACATGATTTTATAAAACTCATCTCACGCAGTTAATGAACAAACTAGTACATAATGTCCGGAAGAAACCGCTTGAATAATAGTGCGGTTTCCTGAATCTGGTTTGTACTATTATTTATCCTGGGATGAATAATCAATCGAACACGACGGATAAATTAATTGCCGATCAAGTATTTTAACTAGCCTTTTTTCATAATTTGTTGCTGATCTTGAAATCATAAAATATCGTCTCTCCATTATTTTTTCTTTCATTTTTTCACAATTTTTACATACGAATTAATAACATATTTTTTATTTTATTAAATCATTTATTAAAATGTATGATGAAATTAAAATTAGTGATGATGTATTTGAACAAATAAAAGACTTCAAATTTTGGGAATGACTGAAGAACAAGAATTATTAATTGATAAACTAATAATAAACAAAGAATTAAAAGAATGTTATAAAAGAAATGGTTTATGTAAAAATTGCAAACAGACCAATTCTTATTTTAAATGGTGTCAGCCATGTATTTCTAATCATTTTCAACCAAATTTCAAAAATTGGACAAGTGGAAATCATGACGTTGATGAATTTATTCAAAAAGCACAATTAAAAGCTAAATATGATTTACAAATCATAGAATGGATTGAATATTATAGATTTGAAGATGTTGAATATTTAGCAAAGGGAGGATTTGGAACTACTTTTAAAGCAGTTTGGAAAGATGGTCCTTGGGAATTGAATGATGATAGTCAATTGGAAAGAGTAGGTGAAACAAAAGTCGCTTTAAAGTGCTTAAATAATTCCCAAGATATTACAGCAGATTTTTTAAAAGAAGTAAGATATTTTTTACTGATTTTACTATTATTAGCCCTTATAAATGTTAAACTAACTATAATTTTCTTGTAAGGTTGAATCAAATATTTTAGTATATAATACTGGTCGGACAGTTCGTTGTTTTGGTATTACCAAAGATCCAAAAACAAATGATTTTATGATGGTGATGGAATTAAAAGATTATAGTTTAAGACAACATTTAAATAACAGCTTTATTTCAATGAATTGGGAGGAAAAGTTGTTTACTTTATATAATATTGCGGATGGTCTTGAAGATATTCATAATGAAGAATTAATTCATCAAGATCTTCATTGTGGGAATATATTAAGCAATGACATCCATCAGGCTTTCATTACTGACTTGGGATTATGTCAACCAGCAAATGTCAAATCCTCTCAAAATAGTAATAGAAATATACAGTATATGGAGTATTACCTTATGTAGCTCCGGAAGTTTTAAGAGGAAAGGAATATACTCAAGCAAGTGATATTTATGGATATGGAATTATTGCATATGAAATTTGTACAGGTTTCCCCCCTTATTATGATATACTGTAGCTCATGATGAATTTTTAGCAATGAAAATTTGTCAAGGCTTGAGGCCAAAGTCTAATTATAAAATCCCTCAATTAATTTTTGACATTATCAATCAATGTTGGGATGCAGACCCTTTAAAACGACCTAATGCAGGTAAATTACAGTCGTTAATGAGTAAATTATATTGGGATTTTTTAGATATTGCGGGCGATAAATCGGATTCTGTAATCAATAAACAAGCCAATGAAGCAGATGAAATTAATAAAAAGTTATCATTTTCATTACCTTTAATATCTATTGGTACTATATCATATGAAACACATCCTCAAGCAGTTTATACAAGTAGGCTTTTAGATTTTAAAAATCTTCCAGAACCAGATAATAATGATGATTTACTTGGAATAGAATATTCAGGTAATTATTATATGAATATAATTTGTTTTATTAAATCGTATTTTTGATACAATATTTATTCCCAGCTTTTTATATATATAGAATCAATAAAAGTTGATTTTACCAAACTTGATATCGCTAATTAACATATAAATCAGTGATAAATAAAATTTACACTTTATAATTATAATTTCAATTTGAAATAAATCAAATCATTTCGATTAAACAAGTAGAAGCATTTCAATCGTTACTAATTATACAATCGGAGCAAAATTTACCCGTTTTTGGTATAAATGAAGTTTGTTTCCATGCGACTAGTAATGACCAACTGAATTATACTCAAAATCTTTAAGTTCGTCGTCACTGAGTTTAATTTCTTTCATAATAAATAATAAATAAGGAATATATCAACAGAGATTATGGATAAAAGTAAAAAAATAATGAAATGAGATGAGAAATCCACAATTTAATTTGTAATATTGCATTACTGAGTCATGTGACTAATATTTATTTTTAACCACTGGTTAAAGAAATTAATAAGTATGAAGTTTTATAAGGCTATTTAATAAAATAAAATCTGTTCATATGGAAAATTAAAAGGATCTAAATGAGTAATGTATCGTTCAAAAAACTTAACCTTCAATATTAATTTTTGAAAAAATAAAAAAATCATTAACGTTAATAATGTTGATGTTAAGAAATGCAAAAAAGTATTTATGCAACATTATAAAATTAATATCTGAAAATGAATTATTACAAATTACAAGTTTAGCAAAAAGATTGAAAAAAAGGAGAATTGCATTTATCATTATAGATTACTTTAAAAATTAAAACTATTCAAAATTTCCAAATTCTCTCTTAGTTAATGATTGAATATAATAATTGATTTGAAAAAATTACCAGTTAAAAATATTTCATATTATATGATTGTCACCAATCATGATATACAAGCATTACTAGTGTTTACAACTTTACGTTCTTCAGTAAATCATATTCTTTATAACGATTTTTGTTTTAAATTTTAATTTTGATGGTTGAAATCATATTTGAATAAATCATTACTGAATTTGAAAATTTGTAGAAAACATTATATATCAAGCTTAGTTTAAAATCCACAACTTTTTAATCACATAATTAGGGCCATGATTGTTCACGTGATCATATGCCAATCATAATTGTGACAAATCAAGGTACGCTTACATCACGTGATCGAACACGAGATCGAGATCGATGTTTTCATCTGGATTATAATCCGGATGAAAAATATCCGGTTTAAACTTTTAAACTGGAATCCGGATGAATCAATAAGTGAATCAATATTACGAATTATTTATAGAAATAAGTATTGAATAAAATTAGAATTATGAAAATTTCGCTCTTAGGTAATTTTGGTACGAAATTAATATCACGTGACACTGAAAAAATAGTTTAGCCATCGGGTAAAAAATTTTTATTAGCTTAAGCATAGTGGCACAAAAATTTTAATGTTACACAAAATTTATAATTCTGGCCGGCGTTATAATTCTGGCCGGAATTATTGCCGATCAGTTGTAAATCCAATACGGATTTCGGTCTCTATCTGGACCCGGATAAGAAATCCGGATCAATCCAATTTTTGTGTAACCCGGATGACGGAACCTTTAGACATCCCAAAATTGAAATTTAAATTTGCCGATCAGAATTATTGTGTTTCTTGTGTATTTTAACTAGCCTTTTTCATAATTTTGCCGTCTTGAAATAATAAAATAACGTTTCAGTCGTTTCACCACTATTTTTTTTTGTTATTTTTCTTTTTATTATATCTATTATATTTGCAATTTTTACATACGAATTAATAACATAATTTTTGTTTAATAAATTATTTATTAAAATGGACAAAATTAAACATTTATTTGAGCAAATAAAAGATTTTAGTCATTATCGTTATCGCTTAACTAAAGAACAAAAATCATTAGTTGATGAAGATAAACTAAATGATGATGTATTTAAACAAATAAAAGACTTCAAATTTCGGGAATTGACTGAAGAACAAGAATCGTTAATCGTTAAACTGATAATAAACAAAGAATTAAAAGAACGTTATAAAGAATATGGTTTATGTGAAAATTGTAAACGGCCTTGTACTAATTATTATTCTTATTGCCAATTATGTAATTCTAAACATTTTCAACAAAATTTCAAAAATTGGACAAGTGGAAGTCATAACGTTGATGCATTTATTCAAAAAGCACAATTAAAAGCTAAATCAGTAAGACAAATCATAGAATGGATTGAATATAATAAATTTGAAAATATTGAATATTTAGCAAAAGGGGGATTTGGAACTACTTTTAAAGCAGTTTGGAAAGAAGGTCCTATTAGTAATTGGAATTATGACAATAATCAATGGAAAAGAAGTGGTAAGAAGGAAGTTGCTTTAAAATGTTTGCATAACTCACAAGGCATTACAACAGAATTTTTAAAAGAAGTAAGATATTTCTTATATATTTAATATTATTAGCCTTTATAAATGTTAAACTAACTTTAATTTTTATTTAAGGTTGAATCAAATTGTTTAGTACTTAATTCTGGTTATATAGTTCGTTGTTTTGGTATTACCAAAGATCCAAAAACAAATGATTTTATGATGGTGATGGAATTAAAAAATTGTAATTTAAGACATCATTTAAATAACAACTTCATTTCAATGAATTGGGAGAAAAAGTTGTTAACTTTATATAATATTGCATATGGTCTTAAAGATATTCATAATAAAGGATTAATTCATCAAGATTTTCATTGTGGGAATATATTAAGCAATTATGTCCATCAGGCTTTCATTACCGACTTGGGATGTTGTCAACCGGCAAATGTCAAATCCTATCAAAATAGTAATAAAAAAATATATGGAGTATTACCTTATGTAGCCCCAGAAGTTTTAAGAGGAAAAGAATATACTCAAGCAAGTGATATTTATGGATTTGGGATCATTGCATATGAAATTTGTACAGGTTTCCCTCCTTATTGTGATATAGCTCATGACGAATTCTTAGCAATGAAAATTTGTAAGGGATTGAGACCAAAATCTAATTATAAAATTCCTCAATTAATTTTTGACATTATTAATCAATGTTGGGATGCAGACCCTTTAAAACGACCTAATGCTAATAAATTATATGAGTTATTATGGAATTTATATTGTGATATTAAGTACAATAACAATAAAGTGGATTCTGTAATTTATGGGCAAGTTAAAAAAGTAGATGAAATTAATAAAAAGTTATCTTTTTCATCACCTTTGATATCTACAAGTACTATATCATATATGGCACATCCTCAAGCAGTTTATGCAAGTAAACTTTTAGATTTTAAAAATCTTCCAGAACCAAAAAATGCAGATAATGATGATGATTTACTTGGAATAGAATATTCAGGTAAATTAATTTGTTTTATTACATCGTATTTTGATACAATATTTATACCTTTTTATATATGTACATAGAATCTACAAGAGTTGATTTTACCAAACTCGATATCAATTCCGAAGATTACACTTAAATTTTTTATTTTACATAGTTAATACTTGTTTTAAATTCATAAATTTATTACAGTTCCTACATTAAAGGAAATACATTCCTGGAATTCTCTATTTAAAATTTAAGAGAAAAAAGAATTGTAATTTATTTAAGTGGATTAAAGAAAAAATTACACATAATTTTTTTAAAAAAATATCATTTGATTATTTATTAAGGTCTTTTTCTTCATTAACAAATATATTTTTATTTTCTAATTTAATTAAGTAGCTACTGATTCCGTGAGATGAAAGTGTTATTTCACTTTGAAATTTAAAATTAGTAATCTGTTCAGGTTTATGGTTAATATTAATCCTATTGAATGTATTAATTTATAGATCAAATCAAACTTTTGCTACAAAAACAATATTAAATTAAGCTAATTTTATTTAGTCAAAAGCATATGATTCCCAAAATTGGTTTATTCCGACTTGATATATCAGTTGTTTGATCGTTCGTGCTTGACGCCGTCTCACTGGGCCTATACAGATACTGTATGGTTGATGATAAAAAAAGAAACATTTCAATTTCCTCAGTTTAGTTTATTTTGGATTATTAGATAACTTGGAAGTCAACTTAATAGTTGGATAATAATTTACTAATTCGTCCACTGTGGATAGTGTAAGAGTCTTTTAATAGTACTTTCTTATAATAAAATCGATACCTATTTATTTTATTAATTCGTAAAATAATTGGCTGATTATTATCAATCACCGCGCATGTAATATGCAAATCATTTTCATATTAAAAAAAATTCGTGTAACCATATTTGAGTCACTTCATTTTATGATAAACCGTCAATTTTAATATGTAACTCCCATACAAATTAAGTAATTTGATAGAACATCATGTGCTTTACTAGTCTCTGAAGTTAATTTTCCATTTTTGAAAATTTTTTTTTCTCTTCGAATATACAAGAAGTTTACGTTAAAAAATGAACTTTTTTTGAGATCCTTTTAAAAGTTTGGATAAATATATAGTTTTAATAGCAAAAATATATGTAATTTTGCAAGAGAAAAAAGATTTTCTAAGGGTTTAATGG